GAGCTGTGGGAATGTACTTCGCGTACTATTTTTGTACTTAAAAGTTGCGATTTTCCAGCCGGAGCTGCGCTCCGCATACTACGTCTGTACTTAAAAGTTGCGATTTTCCAGCCGGAGCTGCAGGGGCACGCTCCGCACGCTACGTTTGTACTTACAAGCTGCGATTTTCAAGCCGGAGCTGCCGCGGACCAGGGGGAATCGAACCCGCGACCGCGGGATTGCGAAAGCAGGCGCGCAAACCACGAGACAACTTCCAAACGCCATTTCGCGAGCAACAAAATCGCACGGCGCCACAGCGAGAGCGCTTCGACACACACGATCTCTGCAGAGAGTTTGCCGAGACTAAGAAGCATTCGCACGGCGCCACAGCGAGAGCGCTTCGAGTTTTTGCACCTCGACCACGCCGATCTCCGCAGAGGGTCGCGCGGGCACCGCAAAAAACGTGAAAACCTCGAGTTTTTGCACCTCGACCACGCCGATCTCCGCAGAGGGTCGCGCGGGCATATCAATAAAACGCAAAATACCTCGAGTTTTTGCACCTCGACCACGCCGATCTTTTTTGCACCTCGACCACGCGTCCCCGCAGAGGGTCGCATTCCCGATCGTCGGCAACATCCCCACCCCGCCAAGAAAGATATTTTTAATACCGAGCTCTTTCTCTTTCTTTCCCGCGCGTAAAGTACTTAACCTAACTTACTTAACCTAGCTTTCACAGCTGCTATCGCCGAGCCTCTACACCTAGCTTAGCTTAGCTCTATGCACCTAGCTCCATGCGCTTGGCTCTATGCGCCTGGCTCGATGCACTTCGCTCTTTGCACTTGGCTCTGCTCTCCTTGCGCCTCGCTCTTTGCACTTCGCTCTGAGCACTTGGCTCTATGCGTGGTGACAGCATGCTGGTGACTCTGCGCAAGTGTCTCCATGCTGGTGACTCTGCGCAAGTATCTCCATGCTGGTATCTCCATGCTGGTGACTCTGCGCAAGTATCTCCACGCTGGTAACTCTGCGCTGGTGACTCTGTGCAAGTATCTCCATGCTCCATGCTGGTGACTCTGCGCAAGCTACTCTGCGCAAGTTGACCAAGAGCTCCTGGTATCTCCACGCTGGTGACTCTGTGCAATTGACCAAGAGCTCCTCACGGAAGAACCCTTCGCAATGCTTTCGGGAACACCACGATGTCCTATCACCCGAAGGGCAGATGTCACGCAACCGATCAGATCAGCAGCCGAGACTCCTCAGTCTGTGAAACGTGAGAGATGTCATGCACCATCGCGCCAACAAGGCGGAGCTCGTCAGCGCTCTTCAAAACCGGCTGCTCCAGCTGGAGACATCAATGTCATCCTCGAAGACTAACATGGCCTTGATCGAAGATTCTCACAGATGCCTGGCAGAGGTCGTTTCGAGCTCGTTTCGAGCTCATCCCGGTCGTGCTGATTGAGCCAAAAGCGAACAAACAAGAGAGCAATGTTGCGACTTGTCTTGTCGGTGTAGGGTTGGCTGAAGTATTTAGTAAGCCCAAGCTGAAGAGTCAGCCGCTACGGCTTGCGATTGGTTGCCACACGAAGCGCAGCCCATGCTGAGAAAGCATAGCAAAAGCTGAAATTCTGCCCGCAGCAACTTCAGAAAGCAAACAAAAACAATTCGCCTATTGCATCTTGAATCTCATGCGCTACCCTGCGTCGCGCGCTGCCTGCTTGCCCTCCCTTCAGCCTGGCACTCCGGATGTTGGCTTACTTTTCGGTGGTGGGGTTCCAGCCAGTCTGCACCTTGATTGAAATCCCGCGCCTGACTAACCAAGCCAAATTTTGGGAACACCTTTCTGCGGCGAGGGCCGCAGAAGTTGTCATGCGTCAAGTTGGCAGCGGCTAGACTGGAACTGGGTGGGGCGAGGAGTGAAGTTTAACTTGCCGTGAGTCTTTGCAGCTGTTTTAAACAAGACTTGACGTCATTGCTCAATGATGCGTTTTGCAACAGGCATAAAATGGATCAGCTTGTTCAGCGGTTCCTTCACGGCGCCTTTTTCAGCGCTTAGAGCTTCTCCAGCCAGCGCCATGATCACGGCGCTGCTGACTGGCGCTTCCTCAGCGCGCGCCTATTTAGCGTCTTCACACCAGCGCTTGTTCAGCGCGGGCTTGTTCAGCTTTTTCACACCGGCGCTTGCTCAGCGCCTGTCATCTACAGCTTCTATCAAATCAGTCCCACGAGGCCCGGAACTTGAACGGAAGCAAGGTCGCGGTGGGTGAAGTCTGTCTGACTCAGGATGCGGCTGTCCAACAGTAAGAAACACGCTCCCCTTTGCTATCCCCCGTTGCTTATCAAGGAGGGCATGAAATTGGGCCTTGCTTTCAACAATGGTAGGCCTTGTTTTTCAGCAAGCCCAAGGCTAGCCCCCGTTGCTTATTCAGCAAGGAGAGCATTGAATTAGGCGTGGCTTATTCAACAATCGTAGGCCTTGCTTTTTCAGCAAGCCCAATGCGAAACATGAATGACACGGTTCGGGCTTTTCTCGCATATCTTTTGCGCATGTTGTTTTGCGTGTGTGGGCGCGTTGTGTACGCTTTGCAAACTAAACTTTGTTTTAAACCCCACACGCCTAAACCAACATATGGCAACATTTGGGTTTTAGCTCAAGTCTTCCTAACCATAAGCGAGCTGAAGCTTGGCAAGGCAAATCATGAGGGAGGCCGCCAACATGTCCACACGCCAGCGAACAGACATGCGATTGGTACTGTGACAATCGCTCTGGAGAACCACTACGATGTCAAGATAACCGGAGACAGAACTGCACTCATGGACAGAACAACCCAAAGGACAGTTTCCACAGACCATCTTGCAGCCCGCCTGCGTCCTCAATCAGATGCTCTTCAGAAAAAGATGCAGAAAATACAGTCAGAAGATCACGGACTTCGTGAACCACTTCTACCGGCACGTTGACCAACGATCAGGCTGAAGTTGAACTAATCCGGTTTGGTCCTGAGACAAGATCAAGGCCTACACCAAGATCCTGGGCTCGCTTCTTCAATCAACAGACAAGGAAGTTTTCGAGCACACAGCCGGAGGATCCGACACTGGTCAGGATTTCATGGAATGCTGACGAAGGATCCGACGCTGGCCGGAGACATCCCGTTAGCGAGGGACCCACGGTTCGCTCGATCAGGCGCAACAGCGCCCGCATCATCTGCATGAACGAAGCCGACGCGTTCTTCGATCAGAAAACTTATGATCTGACCAGGGCGTTCATCAACGCAGGCTTGAAGAGCATTGTCCTGAAGGCGTGGGGAGCAAGACCGACAGGAGACAACAACAAGAGCGCCAACATCCGCAGCAAGAACCAGCAGGTGTATTGTCCGGACCTTGGACCACTGACAGCGGCAGGTAGTGTGTTGCAAGATTGCCAGACCAGCTTCCGCAACATGGGCAAGATCGACAGGGTGGATTTTTCCTATGACGCGTCAGCAAGCATCAGCGACAGTACCCGCCACGCGCTTATAAACTATGACAGGACCTTTCCTGGTTGCATGGCGAACTTTATCCTCAGCTGGGGCAAGACAGACGATCAGCAACAAAGCCGGACACAGGAAGGAGACACCTTCAATGACGATCAGAAGAGGGCAGTCGAAAATGACCCTGGAATGACCGTCAGCGACCATCAGGCGTCCTCTGCAGAACGGATTGCAAACGAGACGCTCATGGTGTACATCAAGAGCAAAAGCAAGAAAGTCAACAACCAGCACATGAACAAGCAAGCGCAACTACAACAAGCACAACTACAACAAGGCCGACTTCTACCCTCTCAGTGGAAACAAGAAGGAGAGTAGTTACAGCAAGAGCTACTACCACCATTGCCGGTACTGAAGAGCAACAACCATGCCCAGCTTCCTCAAGCTATGATCATTTCCCAATTCGCAACAACCGGTGGCACTAAGATATGACCGACCAATCGACATCCGCACAAGATTCTTTATTTTGGCTTCACCGTCTACAAGACTATTCCACAACTTCATCGTCTATAAGCATATCTTCTCCTAAAGTAAGTGAGTCAGTAGTTTCTCCGGACACATCAGCCCCAACCTCTTTCAAGGTCTTTGCACCAACCAGATGCGCAACCCTTTCGCGCAGTCAGATGTCAACTTTTGCAGTCATTTCTCACGCGCAGAGTTTGCCTTGTAGATACCAGACAATCCGACATGTGGGACTCACAAAATAGAGCGACCTGTGCGATCGAAAACGATCTAAGTTTTCCCCAATGGCGGCGGCACATACGAAATATCACTCCGGCGTAGGGCCTTGAGATCCTGATTCGATGCCACAGGTCAAAAGAAATTCGTGTCTGTTTTGTTGTGTTTTGCAGACCATTGACCTTCAGGCAGTCAGTTGTATCACGTATACATTATGGCCCAAGGCCCCTTTATTTGCCAGCAGAGTTCAGACTCGCCATGGAAAACGACCTCGCTGCGAGAGCGAGCAGTTTTTCACACACAATCAACGGGGTAGGTGGGTCGGTGGGTTTAGGCCATCCATCCATCCATCCCACCATCTAGGGGAATAAGATTGTGATAACCACTGTTCTGTGTGAGGGGGGGAACCCTTCGTGATTCGAGACATGCCCCAGGCCTTACTATCGCACCAGGAGCATAGAGATGGTTGACAGGAGGCTTGCTCCAAAACTTGTGGATTTGATCTTAATTGGGGGAATGCGTATAGGTTTTGTTGAGACTCGTTGGTGAGGGAAACTCTGGCACGCCAAACCGATGCTAAAGCATGCGGCGCGGCAAACCCAATGGCAACCCCGCCGCCTCCAGGAGAAGGACGTCGAGGCCAAGATCTAACTTGATTGCGCGCCAAAGCATCGAACTTCATCGACTGCCGTTTGTACAACGGCATCCGTTCCCATTAACGCTGCCCTTTTGCAAAGCACAGGAAGCTGACGCAGGACCACCTGACTGGCGAGACTGAGATGCGCAGCAATGGGTCGCTGCGATTTTGCCCATGCCCCCGGTCTCCTTCCTTTGACGCAGCAGCTCCTCACCACAAATGCAGGGATTGGCTTGGGGTACGTTGTGAACCAACCGGCCAGTCAAGGAGTAAGAACACTCATATGCCAACCAATCACGTGGGTGACGTCAGGCGGTAGCACGCACACACACATGATGATACATTTAAGCGGGATGCTTCGGTTGGTTCTGCGAGCATTAATTGAACGAACGCGCGTCGAGCACAAGTCAAGTTTGACAAGCCAAAGACGTCATCCAGCCTGCGTCTGCTGGGAGGCCAAAGCGGATTGGCTCTCGGCTTTGAGGCGCTCAAGGTCTGCCTTGCATTTTTGCAGCTCCTGTGGTTGAACCAAACACTGGGATATGCAGTTGTGTACTGTTGCAACAGTAGCACGGCGACAAACAAGGAAAGAGAAGCCCTGGCATGAAGCACAAGATGGCTCCTCTGTCCGCTGAGATATGAGCACGAAACGCATGGCTTCCGTCGCAAGAAGCTGATCAGCTTCCAATCGGAATTGGTCTCGCTCCTGGCACAAAGCATTCCAAGCCATCCTGACACATTCAAAAGCTTGAGAAGTCACTCCAAGCAAACGCTTTGTGCCCTGACTACTTTATGGCAAGCCTGTCTCACATGCAAATGACAGCAAATGCTGCGCGCTCTGACACTCGTCCCAAGGAACACGAGAAGTGCGAACGTGGTTCAAAGCGGAAAGGGCGAACTTTCCTGGTATTTGAATGCTGCTGAAAGCCGTCCGTCTGTCCGTCCTGTTTCAGTCGATCTGTGGCTGCCTCCTTCTCAGAAACTTCTTCACGCAGGCATTCGACCTCCTTCGGGCTGCATGGTTGAGCATTTCGGCCTCTTGCCAACCCAATCACTCTCGGCCCAAGCACATCCCTGGAACTGCTACAGGGTGATTACATGCCGGAAAGACTGTGTTCAGCGCATATATGGGGAGTTGTCAAAGTCCAGCATGATTTTAACAACTGACCACATGTGATCGCATGCGTTTAGCACCGCAGGCGTGCCTCCCCCTGACGCGAGACTGCCACAGAAGCTTCTGCTGCTTTGGACTTCAGCTGCTCGATTTCGCCACGGCAGCTCCGCAATTCCTGGCATCGCCGCTGAAGCAGCTCCAAACAGGGACCAGAATGGGCTTGTCCCTTTCGCCTCTCTCCACTTGAAGTCAGCAACTCTTGGCCTATGACCTTGGAGCGCTGCAACTGACTGGGGTCACTTTAGGATGTTTAAAGGCAGAACCAAAGGAAACCACCCGTTAGCTTTCTTAAGTCAGTATCACTGCCACCACCCGAATCTTCATACAGTGCCACTCACGCCTTGGCACGCTCGGAGCACAAGATGAGATGCTGGGACTCAGAGGCTCGGAGCTGGTCTGCTTGTGATCTGCAAGAATCAAGCTCCTGCCCACTTTGTCCACAATTCGTGGCGCCGAATCAAATTGCAACACTATTTCCCTGGAGCCATGAAGAGGCATTGAGAATCAGCACGCTCAAGACGCTCGGGCGGCCTCTTGAAGTCTCACTGTGGCTGCCTCCTTCTCGGCGAGTTCGCCGCATAGGGTCTCCACCTCCTCGTCAAAGGCGGCTGGCTTTGTGAATTCGTTGGCTGTCTTAAGCAAGGCCCCGCAAACGACTGGCTTCCTTTGAACGCCACGTCTGATTGTACAGGTGTTGCAGTTTTGCGGAAGCTCGGCCGCATCCCCAACGCCCACAAGGACATGCGCCTGCCTGCTCCTTCTGCAACACCACGGCCGCAGACTCTAGACCTTCCGACGTCAGCCGCTCGATCTCGCCACGGCAGCTTTGCAATTCCTGACGTCTCAAATGACAATGTTGACGTAGAGTTGGAAAGGGGAACAAACCGAAAAGCTTCAACCCGGACTTGAAATCGTTGCGCGCGCCTGCTCCTGTCTGCAAACCCAGGCTGCTCTTTCGGACCCTTCAGACGTCATTTCTTCAATTTCGTCCCTGCGCTTCTGCAAGTCCTCCGGGCTCACTCAGCTCTCCGGGCACTGGCGTGGCACTATTCGTCATTCCTGTTGGGGTGTGCGTCCATGTGAGTCCGCCGACCCTTGCCTAAGAGGGGAGGCGCACGGGAAGGGTCATCATAACAGGTCTTTCTTTTTTAATAGTCTTATATTCTTCCTCTCGCTATGATGATAGCTATCATTGCCATCACCCTCACCATCATCGTGGCCATCATCTCTTTTGCTACCATGATAGTCATCATCATCATGATGGGAATGCAAAGGATCCTACACCCCGGCGTCGTTTCGCAGTTTTCTGGCTCCAGGCACTGAATCTAAATCTCGGACACATCCGGCTTCCGATAGCTCACGCAGGACGAGCACGATCAACAATACGTCTGAACAAAGACACCCCTCCAGATTGCTTGCAGCAAGCAGCGGCGATTGAAACTAAGCAAGGCATGCTGGGAATGCCGCAGCCGCCCCTGGAGGAGAAAATGGGCCTTGTGAAGCTAAGGATGTTGCAGGTAATGCCGCGGATGTTGCCGCTCTGCTTGGGGTGGCTCATTTTCTCTTGTCAGCTGCTAAAAAATATCATAATAGCAGCCTTTTCATTACCATCACAATGATGATAACTATCATCATAGCATCCTTAGCATTACCGTCAGTGTCTAACGTCAGTATTAAGAAAAGAAAGAGATGATTGCCGTGATGATGGTGATGAGGATGATGGTCACCACCACGATCATAATATTCATCATGCATTTTGGCACGTCTCACCCTTTTCGCGCTGGCTTCCAGGAAAACCAAATCATGCCAAAGCAGCACAAAGCATTAGCCTGAACAATATTTGCCGCGGCTCCGTTGACTTGCGGTTCGCCCAGCTCATGCAACATGCGCAGAACTTACCATACCCTGAGGCCAGGTAGTAGAAGCACCTGCTAAACTACACCTCTTACATGCTTGGGGACGCGGAAACTTAAATCAACTTTCACCAGATTTCTGTCCTTCGCCTGAGCAGAGCAAAGGGCAAGCTGCTTCACCTGATCCTCTCGGCATTGGTTGGCCTCCGCCCGGCAGCTGTCTCGCTCCTGACGCTTTGACTTCTCGCACTGTGTCGCACTTCTTACCTCTGTACAAATCCCCCAGGTCTGCCATGCAGGAAAGCACGAGTGCCTTTTGATTCGTGTGTTCTGCCGCCAGGGAGACAAGCTGCCAAGGCACACAGGTCATGCGAGATCCAGCCAGCCTGCGTTAGCTGCAGGCAGTGCCCTTCCTTTTCCTTCATCTCGCCCTGCAACTGCTGAAGGTCCTTCTTCCCTTGCTTCATTTCCTGCGAAATGTCTTCGGCCAATCGGCGTGCGCCTGTGCCACAAAGGGCAATTTCCCCTGCCTCGCAAAAACGGACGGCGTACGGAAGGCAAATTCTTCTTATCAACAGGCTAGCTGAGCGGACTCGCGCCTCTGAACGCCCAATAAAATGTGTGCCATGGAGAGCAGGAAGGAACACATGGTCTTTATCGCGCAAACTGTAACCGCCCTGTTGTTGTACTTGGGGACAAGACTGCGCCGCTGTCGGAAGTAGTGCGTGGCACCTGTCCTCGAGCCTTCGGCGCTTGCTGTCCTCGGAAAAGGGCGGGGGGTGCCAGGCAATAGCCTGATGGCAGCCCTGCTACCAGCCCTATCAAAGCGAGGAACCGAGTTTGCCAAAAACAGATGTTTCCTATTCTGGATTCCAATCATGGGCGGCCTCAAAAAACAGGACGGTGAAACAGTTTGCGTAGCCCGTGTTCCAGAAAAGGTGCTCGCTGATAGCAGCGACAAGCTAAGCTACCTTCCATGGCTCTTGTTTGCGAGACCCAGTTAGAAGCGCGCCGGCAAAGCAGCGCAGGCCTAGAAGGCTCCCGCCACGTTTCCGTGCAGCCGAAGCCGAGTGTGGCCAGCGCTTTGCGCAGAACGAGTTGCGGCTTCAAGGCTGCAAGGAAAGTAGCGTTGCGCTTGCAAAATGCAGGTTATTGGCAGAACGCAAGTACTGAAAGCCTTCAGTTCTGACAGGGGTTCTGGCAGAGGACGTCCATTCCAGATTCCAAACCCAAGGCGTCGCTTCGTGTGTTTTTTGCCTTTGCTTTCAGCCACAAAACAATCAAAACAGGAGTCTGGGCATGTTGGAAACCTGTCAACTGTATTGACACGGTTGAAAGTACAGAATTTGAAGGCAGCAACCTCTCTGCAGCATCTTAGTGAAAGAGCCTTGCTGTATCACATGCGCGACTATGATGTCAACGTGGTATGAAAGTAGCAAACTGATTCGCATGCCTATCAGCAGTGCACAGATCTTGCTCAGCAGGCCAAGCTTGCCCTGCACAGTCCAAGCAGTCTGCGAGTTGCTCAAGTTTGTCTCATTCAACTGGGAATCTGGCAGTGTTGGCGCATCTTTGTTCTCTGCTCAAATTCCACAGGCGCGCGCGAGTGCTCAAACTTGAATTGTTTGCCACCCTTCTGGCGTTCTCAAGTGACGAAGGCGGCGTTTGGCCGCTGATGGCTTGCGCTATGATAGCCCAACAACGGCGGTGACTCTGTGAGTTTTGGAACGTCCGGAATCCTAAGCCGATTCAGGGCCAACCTTGCGTTTTGTCCAATGAGTTCTTCATTTGGTAAACGCACATTGGGCTCTGCGCCAATACGCATTTCCTTGGATTCTAAAAATGTACCGTGGTAAAGCAATGTTGCAAAATCTTGTCAGCCACATAGGTCGTGTGTTCATGCGTGACAAAAGCGGCGCGGAGTAGCAGTACAAAACTGGGACGGAGCAGCTAATAGCTAAGGGCTGACTAGCTGACTGGCTTCCTTTGCCGGGTAGCAGGCGTTCCAACAGCTCCTATCGAAACCTTGTCAGGCAGTGTTGGGCCTGTGTTGCGAAGTGCAGCGGCCAAGGAACGGATAGGACTATGCCAATCAGACGCCTTGGAAGTCAAGGTTTGAATTGCCCCTTCTAACCGTCTTGTTGTCTCCTGTTGTTTCGACCCGCCAAAAGCGAGGGCTCCCCTGTTTCTCTGCCAGAGCGGAAAGGTACGCGCTGGTGACCTGGCTCCAGAGTCTCCAGAGCCTGTGCCTTTGAGAAAGATCCAACCTTTCTTCTTGCCGACGAACGCATCCAGCTCGGCCCATTGGCCCGCAGATGGACCGACAAACGTGGCACCTTTCGAGGCCATCGCACTGCTTCGCTTCAGTGAAACAGTCGGATTTGACTTGTCCGCTTCAGCTCTGAGATGGCTGTTCGGGACGAGAGCATGCGGGACAAACCTGACTCTGCAAATGGTCCTAGCCACTACCCGCCACAGCACAACTCCACAAGTGCCGAGGCTCGTCATGAGGCCCATGCAGGCGCTCGGGCTTGCAACGAATACGCTCCTTGTTGGGTTCGCTCAATCTCCCGGCATCCGCTCCGTCACAGCAACAGTTCAGCTCAGCGCGGCTCACAAGGAGCCAGCGGTGCAGCATGACCTTGGGGAGGCGCCTCGGTCTCATCGTCGGACTCCTCCTTCTCCTTCGGGGTCTTGAAGTCGGAGTTCCTCAAAACGCATACATCGGCCGCAGCTCCTTGAGCACACCATCCAGTTGCCAGGAGGCTCCGAGCTCCAAGTTACCTTGGCTTTTTGAGCTAAGCTGTCCCCCCGTAAAGCCGCGAAAACGCGGGAAACTGAAAGGCCGCTACTTCTCCGCGAAAAAGCCGTGAACACTTGTGAAACTCACGCTCTGAATTATCGCCATGACAACACCAAACAGCCTCTTACCTCATACAGCCTGAGTAACTCGCAACTCGGAGCCTCCTGGTGCGCCTGTTTTGCACGAGCTTGCCAGGTCAAGTAGATGCAAAATTCTTGGACCGTGACAGTCAGGCACTCCATAGCCCGTGGCCACGAGCAAGAAGCTTGCTCCTTTTGTTGGAAGGAACCCCGTCCTCACTTCCCTTGCTGTACAGAAAAATGCCATCCAAGACACATTCTATTCTCCCTGCTGTCGATTCTCAGGGCATTATACTCTTACGCAGCTTTGTCACAACAAACACAGCGCTTAAAAGGGCTACTAATCAAATGTGTTTGGCATTTTGTTGCACTTGCAATTGGTGATGGAAGCACCCTAAGTGAGGCACAAAGCTTTGCCAGCTGCGTGGCAAGCCCTCCCTACAAACGGTTTGCAAACGACAAAATCCATTTTGGAAAAGCCTAGGTGCAACGGCGATTGAGGCCCTCGCCTCCAGCTGGGCCACCTTTTGGCTTAAGCTGTCCTAAGGGGAAAGCATGATCGCCCGCAGCCCCAACCCCTTTCTTGAAAGGCGTGTTATTTTCACTCACGCAACGCGGCGTCCTCAGAAGCTCTAGACGCCTCCTCGCCGCATTTCCAAAGACACTTGCGCCTGCAGCGCTGAACGCATCCAAGCGCCCGGCAAGACCCCGCTGCAGCTCTGCCACATCCCACAGTGTCCTCTTCACGCGTTGGTGAGCGGCAGAATCAGCTCACCAACTCCAACACCTCCGCCTTTCGCCCCCCCGCAGCCGGGTGGAGCAGCAGCAGCAGGGCCTAAGCTGGCCTAAAATGAGCGTTGCGCCCAGCGCTGGCCTAAAATGAGCGTTGCGCCCAGCGCAACTCGGGAGCAGAAAAGCCGGAAGACCCACAAGCATCTGCGTGTCATCTCCCCTCTCTCTCTCTCTCTCTCTCTCTCTCTCTCTCTCCCTCTCTCTCTCTCTCTGCAGCTTGCGATCTTCTGAAAGCATCTGCTTCATCAATCTCCTCGGACTTGGTCTGGCTGGAGGCAACAACGGCATCCGCAGCCTCGATCCACAACATGTTGGCCAGTTGACACGTGGTACAACTGAACGGTACACGAGGCTGCGGCGAGCAGCTTGCCGGTTAAGCAGCTTGAGCCGAGGGCGCGCAAGAGCCCACAAGCCTCAAAGCGCTCAAGCCATCTTGCATCTTCGTCAGGTTTAATTGGCGAGCGCGCAAGGTCACAAGCAACGCTCAAAGTTGCGCCACGCGTGGACCAACAACTGCATGACATTCCTCCAGGACTGGCCTCTCGGAGTCCGGCTCCCACATGGCTGACCAATCCATCCAAGCGATGGAGCCCGCAGCTAGGCGCACGGCGGGCTCCATCCACCCGACCAACTTCACCGCCAGCAGACCCAGTCTGCCATTAAACTTCCGCGCGCGCAGTCATGAAGAGACATCTCGTGTCGCGGGCGGGCTCCCTCCCCGCCGCTCCATGAGTCGCAGCCGCTCGAGCCACTCTGTGCCAATCACTCGGCGCCGCTCAAGGCCACCCAAAGTTTCGAGTGGCTCTGAATGGAACCCAGTGGCAAATTCAACTAGCGCACCATCTGCAACCCTGATTAAAACACATGTGTGTGTGTGTGTATGTGTGTGTGCGTGTGTCGATCTCCGTTTTCCAGCGCGCAGAGTCAAACCCCAAGTTGTCGAGGGCAGCACCTTCTTGAAATGACATGATGTTGAAAGGCCGATTCTCAGATCTTGCTTTCCAGCCTGCAGTTGCTCTCGCTCATGCTGTAGAGCAGAACACTGCTGCCTGAGAGATTCCACCTGCATGCGTGCGTCTCTTGCAGGTCGCTTGTTTCAAGCGTTTCAAGCCCAACGTCTTGAAAATCAAAACGCGAAGCTTCTGCGCGCAACACCACCCAACCCCCCCCCCCCCCAATATCCACCAACAAGTCTCACGCGACGCACGTGCGCGCTTGCAGCAAAGCCCAGCCAGCCTCGTTAAACCTCAGCTCCTGCTCAGACAGATGCGGGGCTGGCCGGAGCTAGGACGGCATCTCTCAAGAGCAGGCTTGCTTGATTAGCACGTTTACCCAACCGTGTGTCCCTGTCTGTTGGTGCACCCTTTGTTATCAAATTGTCCTTCTGTCTTTTTCTTTCTTTCTTTTCTTTCTTTTCTTTCTTTCTCTCTCTTTTCTTTCTTTCTTTCTTTCTTTCTTTCTTTCTTTCTTTCTCTCTCTCTCTCTCTCTTACTTTGCTTTCCTCATTTTCTTGCTCTTTCCTGCTCCGTTCTGTTTCTGTCTTTCTTTGTTTGTTCTTTTGTTTGTGCGTTTGCCGGTTTTGCTTCTACCTGCTTTTCAATGTCCGCCTCTTATGTGGGTGTCCAATGACATACTGTCCTTTTGGTGAAATGTCAAACTCTTTATCGGTCTGGCAATGCTGATGGCTCCCTTGAAGCCTTGTCAGGGATGTCAAGCTTCTCTAAGAAAAGGGCCCCTGACCAACCCAAGCAATTAAGCGTTCTGACCACAGCGCATTTGATGCTTAAGGTTCCTTTCGCTTTCTCTTTGCAACGCAACCAAAAAGGAAGTTCTCCTAATTTCACCTTGAGAACCCATCCGGTTTCTCTTGGCCTGCCTCCAGCGCTCTGGCTGCATCTGTGGAGGAGACCCGCTGCTCGATGGAGCTCTTCACCAGAGCTGCGCAAGCAAGACCCGTGAGCGGTCATGCGCCCTGTTCATCTGGTCAAAAGAATGCAAAGAAGGCACAACCTTCTTCGGCCCCCGTAATTTGGCACACGCCCAAGCCATTTAATCGTCAGGCTTCAACGGGCCCCTACTTCTGACAACCTGGCAACACCACGAGAAAGGAAGCCCTTTGTTGGAGAATGAGGGCGCCATATCCGCCACAAGCCTTGTCGGCACAAACAAACCATCACCTGCCGCGTTGTTGGTTGTGCGTTCAGCTGGGGGTCGTGCGCCAATGTGAAGAATGGGGGGGGTCAATAAGTGTGCGTTTCGCTCCCAAGCCGCCTACAAAAGTAGAGCAGACCCCCCACGCGGCCGCCATCTTTCTAAGACGCCGACGACGCACCCGCGAAACGCCTATTCAGTACAAGGCTATGACAGATGTCAGCTGCCAGCTGTCAAGGCTGATAAACTCTTGAAGGAACATTCTGACTGTGCCAACGAACCATCAAGCAAATTGGCATCCTTCCGCAACACAAGTTCTTTCCGGGCAACATCTGCTCAAAGCACGCGACTCATCCGGCTCAGTCTGCTAGCTCGAACACTTCTGGCAGAACTTCCTGCGACATCAATTGCCAAATATTGTGGGAATGTCACACAATGGCTTGAAATGCCTGTTAGACATGTCTCAATTGCAAACCGAAAGAACACCGGCCAAGAAGAAGCTCTTTGGAGGCGGCCCTCCTTTTCTTTAGGCAAACGTCTACTGACAGCCTGCGAGCCTGACTAGGTTTCCGAGGCGTTTGCCCGCAAAGTCCGCCTCTCGTCCGTGCCTTCCGAGAGGCCTGGGGCGTTGGGACTTCGTCCTTTGACGGACCTCGGAGCACCGCCCAGTTGACTTTCGAACGCAATGGATTAACTTGCGAAAGCAAAAGGGGGCCCTTCCACACTGGGGGCTCAAAGCTGTCTCGCAGCAAGGACCTAGCTGCGTTTTGCATGTGTCTTACTTTCAGCGAAACAGAGCGGTGAAACGGTGTCAGCCCATGCTTCGCTCTCTGCAGCATCCTGGCCGGAACTTTCCGGGCTTTACACACTTTCCATCAAAAGCACGAGGCGTTGCAGAATAAATACAGGTGCTTCGGCGGCTTTGAATCACCCCGGCGCCTGTGCAGAATCAGGAAACTGACACCCTCATATTGGCCACCTGCTCCGGGCCAAAGTCGCTGGCGCGCAACCTTTCCTTGTCCCCTCTCTAAGCTCCCTGGCTTGCTGCCGCAGCCGCGCGCTGCCTCCAAAGCACGAAGCCAAAGATAGCCTGCTCTGAAAGCTAGACTCTGGGCCAATTGTTCTATCTCGGGCTGAGGGAGACATATGTTGGAAAAAGGCTAGCCCGAGTCTGCCGTGCTTCTCCAGTCAAACTCGTCAAGCGAGCTTCAGCAAAGAGACCGTGTCAAAATAACACGTTACAGCTGGCTGCTGCTTGTGCAAGATGGCCACGGGAATCTACGCAACTATCCGCCGACCCCTTCTCCTCAAAGGGGAGGCGCACGGGAAGGGTGGTTGCAGTACAAGCGCATGGATTAATCTTTAAAGCAAGCATATGACTACTGGCATCATACAGATGCCCATCATCATCATTATCATCATCATCGATATGATCCTTCATCATTCTTATCGTCAACATCATCATCATCATCATCATTTCTAAATCCTTCAACATCATCATCTCTTATTAGGCAGCACTGGTGATGCAAAGGGTGTTATGATGATAGTTGTCATCATAATCATCATCATGATCATCCTTATTATGATGTCATCGCTCTTCTCATCATCATCATGATGATCATCATCATCTCGTTCTTATTCTTATTCTTATATGCATTTCAAAAGTAACGTTAGGCCCCATTGGCAATGCAGAGGATGCTACGATGATAGTTATCATCACAGTCCTCATCCTTATCATCACTATCATCATGGTCATCATCATCTCTTGTTAGCCGGCACTGATGATGCCGAGGATGCTACGATGATAGTTATCATCACAGTCCTCATCCTTGTCATCAGTAAACATCACGGTCATCACCATCTCTTATTAGGCAGCACTGGTGATGCAAAGGGTGTTACGATGATAGTTATCATCATAATCATCATCATGATCATCCTTATTATGATGTGATCATCCTCATCATCACTATCATCATGGTTATCATCATCTCTTGTTAGCCGGCACTGGTGATGCCGAGGATGTCATCATCATCTCTTATTAGGCAGCACTGGTGATGCAAAGGGTGTTATGATGATAGTTATCATCATAATCATCATCCTTATTATGATGATCGCTCTTCTCATCATCATCATGATGATCATCCATCTCATTCTTATTCTTTTTCTTATATGCATTTCAACAGTAACGTTAGGCCCCATTGGCAATGCAGAGGATGCTACGATGATAGTTATCATCACAGTATCATCACTACCATCATGGTCATCATCATCTCTTGTTAGCCGGCACTGATGATGCCGAGGATGCTACGATGATAGTTATCATCACAGTCCTCATCCTTGTCATCAGTAAACATCACGGTCATCACCATCTCTTATTAGGCAGCACTGGTGATGCAAAGGGTGTTACGATGATAGTTATCATCATAATCATCATCATGATTATTTTTTTTTTATGATGATCGCTCTTCTCATCATCATCATGACGACCACCCATCTCATTCTTATTCTTATTCTTATATGCATTTCAAAAGTAACGTTAGGCCCCATTGGCAATGTAGAGGATGCTACGATGATAGTTATCATCACAGTCCACATCCTTATCATCACTATCATCATGGTCATCATCATCTCTTGTTAGCCGGCACTGATGATGCCGAGGATGCTACGATGATATAATCAACACAGCCCTCATCTTTGTATATAGAAGAAAGATAGAAGAAAGAGATGATGATAATGATGACAATGATGATGACAATGATGAAGGCATGCAGGCGATGACTATGATGACAATCATCATGAAGATGATAAGGATGATGACTCTTATGATAACTATCATCGTAGCATCCTCTGCATTACCAAAGCTGCGGAACTATCATCGTAGCATCCTCTGCATTACCAAGGATGCCTAAGGAAGAGATGATGATGATGATGACAAGCATGATGACGATGATGACGGCGATGACTATGATGACAATCATCATGAAGATGATAAGGATGATGACTCTTATGACAACTATCATCGTAGCATCCTCTGCATTACCAAAGCTGCGGATGACTGTCATGATAACTATCATCGTAGCATCCTCTGCATTACCAAGGATGCATTTCAAATGTATATAGAAGAAAGATAGAAGAAAATCATGATGACGATGATGAAGGCGATGACTAGGATGACAATCATCATGAAGATGATAAGGATGATGACTCTTATGACAACTATCATCGTAGCATCCTCTGCATTACCAAAGCTGCGGATGACTGTCATGATAACTATCATCGTAGCATCCTCTGCATTACCAAGGATGCCTAATACCGCATTTGAAATGATAGAAGAATATCATGATGACGATGATGAAGGCGATGACTATGATGACAATCATCATGAAGATGATGAGGATCACCTCGCTTCAGATGCCATTTGGGTCAAAAAGAAACCAAAGAAACCAAAACCAAGGGCACTGTTTTTGGTTGCTCGAAAACCACAACTAAATCCAGGGGTCGGCGGCACTGGGCGGCAGCCCTTAAATAACCTTTGTTCAGTAGGAGGCTGCTAGGACCATTCATCGCCAAGCGATCAAAGCTCGTGACATCTCATCTTTGCTTAGCCTCCGCGGCTCCAAGAGCAGTGTGTGCCTGGCATATGAACGCGTGGTGTGCGTTTCTTCTAGCTCCATTGACAACCAATCCTGTATGTAATCCGATTACCCTGAATTGGTCGTTTGGGGTGGTGATTCGCCTCACAGAAAGGGGCACAGTGACAACTTGAACGAGGCGGGAACGAAAGCATTGTGCGACAGGGAATGCAATGAGAAGGGACAGCGAGAGTTATAACGAGGGTCAAGCCCGAAGATTCGAGGCCGGCAACAGTTCTACCTTTGCCGTTCGAGCAGAAAACGCATCGAGTTGCAACGGGAGGCTGGCAAAAAGTACTGGTTTTCCAGCAGGCACAAAACGGCACTGGAAGATCGTGCGCAGCGTTGATGCGTTTCGGCCTCGTTCGGGGCTGTTGTCGTTTCAGCCCGCCGCTGGGCCGCAACAGGGGCGCAAATCAGGGAGGCGCAGTTTCGGCCCCGTTCAAGGCCTTTGCGCGGCCCGGCGGCGTTTTGGGCGGCCACGAAAACGGCCTGCGGCTCGAACCCTCCCCCCGCCACGTTGCGAGGAGCGGGTGTAGCGAACAGCTGCCGTTTTGAGCAGCCCGGCGGCTGGCGAACGCAACGGGAGGCCCGCAACGAGGCTCAGCGGGAGCCCGACAAAAGCGTTGATTTGCTGCGGCTTGGCCTCGTTCAACACCTCCCTTTAAGGGCCGCCGCCGTGCTGCAACAGGAGCGTGAAGCATTTTTTTCAAACCTCCTGTTGAAGTTTTGCGAAGCGGCGCCGTTTCGGCGCGCTGCGTGTGCTTGGATGTCCGGCTGGCAGCATCTTGCGTGTTTCGGGCGGGTTGCCAAGCACTTGCCCCGCTTGGCAGACTTACCTAAGTCCGCCAACCTGGGCTATAACTAGGTCTACCTGTGTTATAACCTCGCTATGTCCGCCTAGCCAGTTGGCAGACTTGGCTAAGTGCTCGGCGCAACGCCAAAAACTTAGCTGGCCAGGCGGACTTTGCGAGGTTGCAAGTCAGGTTAGACCTATATATAAGTGCCTATGTTTGCGGACTTAGCTAAGTCCGCCGAGCGGGGCAAGCACTTAGCAACCCCACCGCCAAGAACACACGGATTCGCAACAGGAGACCAACAAATGTTGATTAGGCCCGCAACGAGAAGCGACATGCGTGGGAAGTGCTGGTTTGGTGCGTTTCGGCCTCGTTTGGGGCCTCCCGATACTATTTTGGGCGACCAGCTGGAACACAAAACGGCAATTTCGGCCTCGCTCGGGGTCTCCCGTAAGATCGATCGGATGTGAAAAGAGGTACTGCTACGGCCTACTCAGCTAGCCTCTTCCGCCTGACCCCAAGAGCTGCCGCATGGACAGGCCACAAGGCTGCATCAACTCGCTGTGAAGCGCCGCCGTGTCCGGGATCGCCTTCAATCGCAGCGCCGCAAGACAGTCGTTGTCTCCGCAGCTGCACACATGACCGTCAGCCACGCCTTGGGCAAAGCCTTCTTGCCTTGCTGCCTGCGAAAAGTAGCAGGGTGTGCGTGGCAAACCCGCATCTTGGTCTTCCGTGTCCGGAGCAAAATCAAGACCAGGTTGAGTGGGGGGGTGGCGAAGGCGGGTCAGAAACACCAGCCAAATCACGAGAGCCCAGCCCATCTCCGCTCCAACGGGCCCAACAGGATCAGCGTCAGCCTCTCCCAGCGCAACGTCCCTGACGCACCGAAGCATGCAAACAAACCTATGCGTGTTTATGAAAAGCTATGAAAAGGCTCAAGCGAAGCTGTAGGCAATCTTGAGCAAGGCAGAAGCGCGCTTGAGGCGGCCTGGGGTAACCTTCAAGTCCCTCCTCTTCAACTCGTTCTGGCCCCAACAAAGATCTCAAAGACAGCGGCGACACCAACTTGCCATGGCATTCTCGCGGGCCACTTGGCTCTGCGCATTTAAGCCACCTTGGAAGGACACGCGCTACCCGGCAGCTTCCGGCGTCGGCTCCAGCTGCGCGCAGCGTAGGCGCTCGCTGCACCTTGTCCGGCATCTCGAAGTGCCTGTGTGGCGACCCTCCGTTCTGTGAGCGTGTGTAGCGCAGGAGGCTCATGTTGCCGTCCAGCAATCGCACTAGCCAGCCTTTTTCCAATGGAAGAAATCTCAACCCTTAGCAACTGCTGGTCCGATGAGCCCAAGGGTCCGCTGATCCGATGATCCGACGGTCCGCTGGTCTGAGTCTGGTGCGATGGTCCGCTCCTATCCTGAGTGCCAGAACGAGGCACGGAGTTGCGACGGGAGCCCAGCAAATGATTTCTTCTTGTTTCATTGCAGAGGGCGCGCCCTCTTCCTTCACAATGTCACGCGTCTCCTCCTGCTTCTTGTCGCTGTAGCTGCGCCCTCCACCAGACTCTCCAACATCCTCGGCAGTGATGATGCCGTCCAGAAACACCAGCTCATCGTCCATCTCCTATGGTCTCGCTCCTGCTTGGAATACGGTAAAGGTGTAGACCTCAATCAGGACTGGATTTGCTTTCGGCTGGGCCGCCGCTGGGCACTTTTCACGCAGAAACAGTTGCAACGGCGCAGGCTGTGGCGATTCAAACTGATCAGCTTTGCAGGCAAGTTCAAGCCGCTGCCTTTCCTAAAAATCGGCCCCACACCCCCTGATTGCTAAGCAAAGCTTGGGTGGAATAACTCCAGCTAGCGCTGATCAGTTTCTAGGTCCTTCCCATATTTCAAGACGTGTGTAAGGCCTATGTCCCGCAGGTCATTTTTGGGTTCGGGGCGGGTCGAACACGTCGCTTCGAGCCAGGCCCACTCTGGAGCAGCATCCCAGGGCTCAGTCACACCCGGCCTAAGCAATTCATGAGGCAAGGCTCAGCGCCAACCCTTTGGACTCAAGTCATCTAACAGCATACAAGGCTCAGCGCCAACCTTTTGGACTCAAGTCATCTGTCAGCATACATTCCAGTTGCCGCTTTCAGCCTAACTGAGGTCCTTGTGTTCTCCTGATTTGTGCTTAAGGCGCCGTACGTTTCTTTTGCGATTCACATTTACGATTTGAATACAGTTTCCGCACGTTGTCCGTTTTTCACCAGGCTGCCCTCCTCCAAAATAAACACAGGCTTTTCCAACCAAAAGGCAGGGGGTTGCTTTGCGTCGCCGTCGTTATTCTCTACCTTTTTATTGAAGTGAATAACGAATTCGTAGATGATTTGGTTTTGGTCTTAACGGTGTCAGCTGAATTTACGTGTGTATTTTGCTGTGTTGTTGACGATGTTTTGCAACTTCTCGGGACTCGCCAATGTCCTCTGCCGAGAACCGACAAAATGCTGCACCGGATGTGAAAACACCATAAACCGTGTAACAAAACATAAGTGCCAATCATGACTAAAGTCGCATCTAAATCGGCAAAAAGGGACTTGCCTACACCGTAGATTGCAACACGCTAGATTGCCTCCTCCGTGCAGGCCGCAGCGCACATACCGCGCTCTTGCTTTGCCGGACAGTTTGGTTCAGGGCAAGCGGTGTCGCTGGATCATCTTCCATGCCGGCGGGCTGCAAAATATCCGCACAGTCGTTTGCAGCTCTACATGCGCTAAGAGCATCTCAAGGCAGAAACTGAAAAACTGGCCGGGCTGACCAAATCCATTTCACAATTGCCATTTTCACTTGTTCGTGAACATCTGCCATTTCAGCTGCAAGATGTGAAAAGACGCGGACAACCCAGGTTTGCACAAGCTGGCACGAGCCTGGTAGGCATTCATGGGGTTTGCGCCCCAGTGTTCGCGACCCTTGCTTGTGGGGAAGCTGCAGCTGCATTCGCGCCACTGAATCATGACATATGCAATTAATGGAAAACGCCTGTGTGTGAGATAACAAAGGAGGGATGTTTCTATCTGAGATATCTTCTCAGCAGCGTTGAATCATGTCACAAAGATCTGTCTCACTCCCTTTACTTGCCCGGCGTCCACTTGGCTTTGTGCTGTGCTTTCTCTTCTTTCCCCAGATAGCTGAAAGCTATAGGTGCTCTAACTTCTAATAAAGAAGGGAACGTGATTTGCAAGATTGAGGGCTGAGCGTTTGGGGGCGCTGGTGGATGCTGTTTTGCGGACGGCCGGGGGGCTGTTTTGTGAGATTAACGACCGAGTGCTTGAGGCATGTGGTTTGGGGTGCTGGTGGAGGCGCTGCTTTGGCTAGTGGGCGCTGGTGGGGGTGCCAATTTGCGAGATTGATGGCCGGGCGCCTAGGGCATGCAGTTTGGGCTGCTGATGAATGCCTGGGTGCTAGGAGGCGTGCAGTTTCGGGCGCTTGTGGATGCTGTTTTGCGAGCTTGGGGGGCGTGCAGTTTGGGGCGCTGGTGCTGTTTTGCGAGCTGCTTTGCGAGCTTGACGGCCGGGTACTAGAGGGCGTGCAGTTTGGGGCCCTGGCGGAGGTGCTGTTTTGCGAGGTCGTCCGGGTCCAGTTTGCGGCGCTGGCGGAGGTGCTGCTGCTCTGGGGCGCTGTTTGAGGCGCTGGCGCATTTTTGTGAGATTGATGGCAGGTGCTGTTTTGGGGCGCTGGCGACGTTGCGGGCGCAATTGTCCGAGACTGCCGGCGGGCGCTAGGTGGCACGCAGTTTGGGGCGTGGGCGCAAACGCTGTTTTGGGGGCGCTGTGCGAGGCGCTGTTTGGTTGAGGCGCTGGAGATGGTGTGTGACGGCAGGGTGATCGGGGACATGTCCGGCGCTGGCGCAGGTGCTGCGCTGAACCGATTCGGACGTTGTTGCTGCTCGGTGGTTCGTGGCTGGTGTATCATCTTGGTGTTGTCAACCACGTCATGATGCTGCTGGAATCACTGCGGCGCTGCTGGTTCGTGGTGCGGTGGCGCCATGATGCTGTCAACATCAGGGCGGTGCTGAATTTCACTACGCTGTCGCAAGATGATTCGTGGCTGTGGTTCATCGTGATGCTGCCTTTAACATTATTATCATGCGGTTCACACCACCATGATGCTGTCCGCATCATAGGCTGTCCGCATCAGCATGATGCTGTCGAACTCATCACGATGTCGTCCCTGCATTTTTCTGCCGGATATGCAGCACGGAAAAATCTCAGCAAGACGCTGTCAACATCATCATTATGCTGCTGCGCTCATTCGGACGTTGTCTGCGCGTCTATGTAGCTCACCATGCTGAGCGGCTGTGGAATCACCATCATGCTGCCAACATCGTCATGATGCTGTCAACATCATCATGACGCCGCGGGAACCATTATGATGCTGCGTCATGGTTCGTAGACGTGGTGCGCTATCTGGGGTCTACGCTGCTGTGTTTGTTTGGTATAGGGTTCTCCCCCAGAACATCGGGCAGGATCCTCGCAGGTAAGAAGTTGCGTACGGCCTTCCGCCGACAGACGCCCGCAAGTGCCAAACTCCACCTTACCTCGTACCCTCGCATTTTGGCGAGTGCTGACAAACGAACATACTCCCAAAAAACTGACCTGCCAGAAGCTTGATTGCATCAACTGCGCCGATCCGGATTGTTTCGAACCCTGCGCTCTGCGCCAAGCGCACCAGCTGCGCCTCCGACACAGAGCGCTTAATTAGCCGCCTTTTTACAACTGTCCCGTCGCAAAGATAGGAACAAACGGAGTCAAACACATGACCCCACTCATGTCTTTTCAGGAAAGAAACTCGCCTTGTTGCATCGGCTCACATCGCTCACAATCATCGAGCGACTTGCTACAGAAGAACGGAGGCTTTAAGACCTGGGCTTGGTGGCCAGCCATTGCAAGATTCCTGCAACGTCGGAAAGGGAGGGGGGTGACGTCGGGTGAAGGGGTGGTTCATGCTTTCATAAGAACAAGCACCTACCACCAACAGCCCCTACAACGTCTCAAAGCACCCCGAACCGACGTTCTTATAGGGAGCTTTGCGACGTCGGCGGTCTGAGCCGGAGGCGTTAAAGTGATGTCACGGCGAATGCCCCTGTATCATACCCAAAACGAGAGAACTCATCAATATGTTTGATAAGATCGCCTCTTGAGGGTTGAGCATACCGTGTCAGATTTCCAAATAACACCCTGGCTGAGAGCGATGCGTCAGCACAGGCCCGATCTACAACTACTTGCTGGTCTTTGTCCCTAGTGGCATCGCGGGATGTGAGGAAACACCACAGGCATGTTTGGCAAGACGCTGCCACTGAGGCAGCTACAAACGCAAAGCCGCTCGCGCAATGAGGTCTGACTTCTCTACGCAGTCGGAGAAATCAATGCCTGGCGCTTGACAATTTGTTCCGGCGACAAAGTCCGATCCATCGGAAACTTGGAATTGGGACTGCATTGTGACGCGCCCGCTCAAACATCCCGGCGGACCGACATTCGCTCGCGTTTTGCCGCTTTTCTGAAATGCAAATCGCAAATTGAGTCCCCAAAAAACTTCCCAAATTTTGGCTCAGCATTAGAGGCGTTTTGCGTTTTGCTGAGGCGACACGCAAATTGTATCGCCCATTCCCTGCCTTCTCCTTTTGTACATCTTTGCGACCGCTACGACAGTTTGCTGCTCCACATTTTGCCGGCGCAAGACATAGCGCCACTCCCAAGACTTTACAGAAGAGGAGATGCGGGCTGCACGAAGGCATCGAATTCGGGACATATGCTTTGCAGCTTGACGAGGCAGGGTCTATCCTGCCAGTGTGGCAAACGACCTTTCGCGCTCTCAAAAAACATCTTTGGTCAGGTGTGGTTTTACGAAGCAGTCAAGCGGGTGCTCTTACCATGGTCAAGCGTGCACGCAGTGTTATAACGTAGCATTCGGGCGGGTGTGCTTAGAATTGTCCGGGCGGGGGCGCTTACAATGTCAGGCGCGCGCGCAGTGTTAGAACGCAGCAGTTGGGACGGTTTGCTTACCATTGTCAGGCGTGCGCGCAGTGTTATAACGCAGCAGCCGGGTGCGCTTACCATGGTCAGGCAGCGCGCAGTGTTAGGACGCAGCAGTCGGGCGGGGGTGCTTGCAGTGTTAGAACGCAGCAGTCGGCCGGGTTTGCCTACCATGGTCAGGCGTGCGCGCCGTGTTGCGACGCACGCGCTTACCATTGTCAGGCGCGCGCGCAGTGTTCGACGGGGCGCTTACCATGGTTACGCGTGCGCGCAGTGTTAGAACGCAGCGGTCGTGTGCTTACCATGCCAGGAGGCTCCAAGTCCCAAGTTACCTTGGCTTTTTGAGCTAAGATGTCTTCGGCCACTTGCGCTTGTTGGCCGCCGTGAAGCCGTGAAAACTCGGCCGAACGGCCGTGATAACTCGCGCGGGAAACTGAAAGGCTGTTACTACTCCATGAAAAAGCCGTGAAAACTCGTGAAATTTCACGCTCTGAGTTATCTTGTCCAGAACCTCCTTAGCTCGCGCGGCCTAAGTAACTCGCAAATCGGAGCCTCCTGGTGTCCGGCGTGCGCGCAGTGATGTAACGACGGGCTTAGCGTGGTCAGGCGTGCTATAACGAAGTAGTCGAGCGGGCGCGGCTCTCAGGGCGAAGCAGTGGTGCGGGCGTGCTACGCAGGGTTGCAGGAAAAAAGTGCACGCCGTTGAGCGCGGCTTCTGGTCGGCTAGCTCAAAAATGCCGAGCTTCCCCTTTTGCCATAGCCAGACTTGTGGTCGGTCCTTTCCACACAACCGAAAGACACGAACTGCTTACAGATCTTCAGTGAGTGCCCTTCGCGTCTCAGATCTTTGGAGGCATGGCAGTGCTCAGTACCAATCCATGACAGCCTGAGTCTCTCTGCCTTCCAGTCGCAGCAAATTTTGCAGTTCACGAACGCCGAGTGAACGGAGCTCCTGGGCGCGCGGAACCGGAGGTTCCGGACATTCCGAATTGTTGAGAGCAACCGCCTAAACAAGTGCTTGGCGCGCTAACAGCCTCCAACTTGTTTCCCCCTCCTCACATTCATCTCCAAGATGTGTTCAAGGGCTACAATCCCGCCCGCGGAAGACAAGGAAAGTCTCGCTTTCGAAAAAAAAGGCAGAAGTAGCTTGGTTTCGTCCAAAGAAGTACTTCAAATGAGTGTAGCGGTTCCGCATCTTTCCGGCGCCAATTTTGTGGAAGCACTTCATTTGTTGAAACCATTTTTGACGCCAGTCCTCTATAGAGGATGGCGCACATCTTGCAGGAGGGTTGGGGTTCTTCGCAGCATTGAAGAACATGGACAGCCTGAGCTTCCCGTGGCATGGGCAAGCTGGGCATCTCTTGGCAACAGCTGCTCAAAAACACTCAACTTTGAAATCAGAAATCTCATTTGGGAGCGAGATAATTTTACCTTTGCAGCCCAGGGTCTGTTGGTGAGCCAAGCTGTGCCCCGACCTCGGATTCAGCGACGTGTCACCAAGGCATCTTCAAACCAGGCAGCCCGGCGCGGCAGACTGTTGGGCCCACTCCAAGGCTTCCTGGTAGTCGACCTGCCACACCAACTGGCAGCAAAATCCCAGTTTCTGGTGGGGACAAGGCACTTGACCACACGAAGCACCCTCATGGCACGCACGCTTGCGTAACCATTTGCCTTCACTCCACCGCTGCCGCGCAGAAGTGCCAGGCCGTAGTTCAACATGCCCTGGTCCAATCGGCTGCACAGCCGCGAACCCAGTTTCCGGGCCTCCGATTGCCCTAAACTTGGACAAGCCAAGGCCCTCGTCGATCATGGTGTGTATTTTTTGGGTGACGTCAACGACACAAGTCGTAGAACGGCCACGCGTCTGCCAAGTCCATGACCGTGTGAAGTTACATACGCAGGAAATTCCGGTCAAATCACAAATGGCTATCCGATGAGCAAACTGTGACAACATGTGACGCCAACCACCAGCACTGGGGACGCGGCTTCTGGCGCACCAAGCTTTGCAGAATGCCGGAAGAGCCTCACCGCCTTGGCCTCGTCCTTGATGACTCCCACGCCTAGCTGGCGGATTGAATCTCAAGGCGCTGGCAAGGCAACCGCCGGGATGTTACAGTCCGGCGCTCCGAGGCTCTTGGACCATGCAGTTACTGATCCCACTTGCGGGCTCATTTGAGGAGCTAGCCATTGATCAGCAGGTGGCCCAGGTTGCTCAAAGCCTTCAAGCTTGGCTGCCGCAACTGTGATGGCGTGCATTGATCCCAAATGGACATGAGTCAAGCCGACCCCTAAAGCCAGTAGCCGAAATCGCAGAAACGAAACGGTTTCTGGCTCTTCCTCACCCTCGCGTTTAAAGCTCCGAACATGGCACAATGCCAGCAAGAACGTGAGTCCCTGTTCGAGAGGGGTGATGATCAGCGCTGGGAGATTGAAGCAGTCGTTCAATGGGGCCATCCTCGAACCTTTTGGCGCCCAAGGAGATGCGTAAGGTCAACGCCATTTTTGGGGCCCAGGCGGTTTGATGCTTCACACGCTTGGATGTGGGTGTATCCTTGTTGGATTTGCGTTTGAGCAAAACGTTTGCTACCTGAGCGAGACAAAGCGATTTGACACAGACCTGTCCAGCAGTCCCACGGCCCCAGGGCCTGGGGGTCACCCTGGTGCGCTGCCCATTTCGTACACCGCAGGCACTGCTGCAAGTC